TGGCGGGATGTTTAAACACGAAATGGAAGTTTTTGTTTCTATAATGTGTTGGGAAATTGCTTGAGTGGCTAAACATTTGCGCATTCTCAAGAAGGGCTCAACTGCATGAAATTATATAATTTATTTATTTATTTATTAGGATATTTTTATATACCGTTCTCATTGAAGTCCATTAACAGACTATTCACCTGGTAGAGGTCACATCTGTAATCCATTAAAAAACCTTTATAAGAAATTCGGATTTCGGTACCCACCAGGGTTCGAACTTCGTCTTTTGTAAATACCTTTGAGGTCTATGATAATCTTATGACAGAATTATTGTTTGGTTGTAAATGGATCTCATAAGCAAAATGCAAAGCTGTCCTTGTGCGTAATTTGTTAAGCAGAGTACTATAAAGACATGCGGGTGAGTGAACATAGAGCTCTACTTTCCTTACGCTCGCTTCAGTTGGAGTGAGTGGACACCTTCGCGCCCCGTGAGTTTCACTCACGGTAAGCCGCACGTGGTAATCACTCAGTATAACGCTAATTGGGAACAGACCCGGTCTGGACGCCATACGGTAGAATAAAATATCTTGCGCCTGCCGGGAATAGAACCCCACTCCCCAAGCTTTTAGCCCCTTGCTCTATAGCCTGAGCTGATATTTGATAAGCGCAACAAAATAATTTATATGTAATGGAAAGGTACATTCACATTCCATTGTAAGCTAAAAACATTTGTTCAATTTTACGAAAGATGCTTAGAATGATAAACATGCTTACAGTGTCAGAATCCCCTGGTTTTGTTCTGCGCCACCCGCAGAGTTTGCTGAGGCTTCTTTCCCTTTTAGGTGTCTTTTCCTAGGAAACACAAAGTTTGTTATGAATATCTTGCACCAACCATTCTAAAGAATGTAATCTTATTAATGTAGCATTTTTCTTCGGAACTCAAGAATCAAATATTAGTTTGAGACATGAGTACTGCGTTTAGAATTTCCTGCGTTTAGCCAGATATACCAATCAATCTTTCACGCTACAGTCGCAAATAACATAACGCTAAGTAAGAATTTAAATGAAAATTAACATTTTAGACTGCAAAGAGAATTGGAGAACTTTTTCACAGAATATTCTATGAAAGCACTGAGGTTCCAAGAATTCAGTTTCATCTGGCATAAGTGCTAAAAATAGTATGTTGCAGTTTTCAAATCAGATTTTAACGCATTTTAATTTTCAGAGTAATCGCGTTCTCATTCTGTCACTGACACATTGCAAATCCAAATGCCTACCTTCTTGTCATGGCCGCTGATTTCCGATTCGACGTTCGATGTGCGGACCACAGATTCTTTGCTGAAATGGTCCAGATCTTGTATGATCTTTTCCACACTGTTCCCAAGAGATTGATTACTCTCGACGCTCCTAGACTCTGGCTTCGGTGGCTCACTCATGCTACCCTGTGGCTATGTGAGTCTAGCGAAGGGAACACTTTCCAGAGTTTCTTCAACAGAGAAAAGCACTGGTCACTCCCTGTTACCATTCATCCCGCCCTACATATGGGACAGTATATTTCATCTGCACCTCCAAAATGAAATAGTGGTCATGGCATCTCCATTTCTTTTCAACTTTCTTTATTGTGTACCAATATGAAGATTCATAGAAACCACAATCCACTGAAATTAAATTATGCTGACTATTTAAAATATTTGTAGACAACACTAGTACTATAAGAGAACAAAAAAATGCAGAGTAATCTAAGAACTACATTATTACACCAAAATGAAAATTCTCTTTGTACATTGGTCAATTCATATGTAACTACATTATCACTGACTAATGTACATGTGTGTAGTGAAGAGCCAGTGAATCCCTGCGGGACTGAACAACTAGGAGTAATGTTATGCATTTGGATTTTCGGCAGGAACAACTAATTCGTGGCGATTGCAGTGGTGAATGGGATGCTGAACGCTTAGAGATGGCGTCATTATCATCCGCCCCGCCCCACATATGGGAAAATTTTTTTCAACTCCACCTCCAAAACGAAATAGTGGTCATGGTATCACCATTGCTTTTTAGCTTTCTTTATTGTGTACCATTGTGAAGGTTCGTGGAAACATCAGCTAGACGACTATGCTGACAATTGAAATTAATTAGAGAAAACAATAATACAATGAAAGAGCAAAGAAATTTTAATTGACGGTACAGGAGGAGCTTGGGAAAAAAACAGGGAAATTTAAGTACATATAAATGTCTACGTTAAGATTAGAGGAACAACCATAGCATAGGTCCATTCAAACTGTGACAGTGTTCAAATATTTTGGAACAACAGTAACATGATAAATAAGAGTTATTACAGAAGTAATAGGAGTCTGAATTAGGAAATATATTCCGAAAGATTTCGTCTTCTGGTACACCGTCATTATTTTATAATTTAGAATGTAAGGAAATTCATTTGATCTTATCGTATTTTGTAATTTTGAAACATGGTCGTTGCCATTAAATTCGGTTCAGTGACTGAACAATTTAAAATGCAGAATGCCGATGAGAACTTTTGGACGAATGCGAAATTTAAAAAAAAAAAGTACGATAGAGAAAAATCTCTTCTGAGGAACGTCACAAAATATTTGAATTACACATTCAAAGTTGTTACGTAAAGGAGGAAGTAATGGGCAGGGCATATATTACGAACGTATTGTGATATGTGTAACGGTTGCTGGACAACGGGAAGTGGAACGGGTTACCATGAAGACAGACCCTTGATGAAAGGTCGGTTTCCAAGTTACGCAACAGTAAGGAAAGCGGTGTTTGTCCGTGCCGAGCCGAACCCAGCCGAAGCGCGCTAGTTGTTACCCAGCGTTGCCTAGCAATGCCTTTGTAAACACGGCGTCACGCAACAGAGGAGCCCGTGCAGCGACTGTTACTAGGCAATCGGTAAACACGACGTTATGCAACAGTGGTAGCTATCACGTTACTGTGCAGAGGCTACATAACAGGAGCATTCGGCAGTGAGAGAGAAAAAGTAACCAGTCAGTTAAAATGTAGCAGCTGAAAAAGACAGTTGAAGTCTAAAAGTCAGCGAGTTCAGTTGTAGCGAGTGTGGATTGTGAAGCCAGACAGAAGACAGTTGAAACATAGAAGCAGTCGTGGGAAGAAGAATGGAACATGTGTTATACTGAAGATAGTGTGAAGAGATATTTTGTAGTGTTTGTAATGTGTGTAAACCGCAAGAGTGTGATAATTGATTGTAGTTACGACTTGTAGGTTGTTAAATGAACCAATAAACAATCCGAACTGCATCTTCAGTAGCAAAACACTTTACAATATAAATACAAAATTTCTCGTTTCGCATTCCATATGTCCTATTGTCTGTAATGATAATTTTTCCGAAAAAAAACTGCATTATTACACCAACATGAAATCCTCTTTTTCCATTGGTCAATTCATATCTGGTTACAAGAGCACTGATTAATGTTTATTGCACTCAAGTGGCAATGACCCCCTGAGGGGCTGAACAACTAGGACTAATGTAATACATTAGGATTTTCGGCAGGAGCAACTGAGTCGTGGTGATTGGCACGGTGAATGGCATGCTGAACGCTTAGAAGAGTCCCCATGTTAAGAAGCATCTTACGAGGGCCTATTTCGCCCGATCATCATAATTAGTCAGATTTTCTTACAACTGTAAAGGAAAAGGAAACTTCTGAGCTAACATTGCAGTCTCTGCCCTCACCCTTGTAAAAAGCAAGGTGTTGTAACCAGAAAATACCACGCTTTCCACTCTGAGGCTAGGTTATCATATTCCCGCTGAGTTTTACGTGTGTTTCCTGACGCATGAAACATTAATCATGTAGTAAAAAATGTCTCGGACCTATATTCCCGTTTATTTGATTTATGTTCAAACATAAGAATTGACAGGAATGCAGCATTATCTTAACTTATTACTTACCTTCCTGGAGCACTTGAGTAAGGGAACTGCTTCGCTCATTCTTTGGAGGTACTACATCTTTGGAAGAGTCAACCTGGAAGAATTAACAACGTAAATCATTGATCAGATGCATTTGTGCAGTAAACTCCCTTTACCTGACATGTATGGCAGGTAGTGTTCCCCGATTGCATGACAAATTTTCAGGACTCCAATTTAGAGTAAATTCATGCTTCCTCTTTATCATTGCATTCGAATCTTCCTACGAGATATCGCGGATAGATGTACGAAACATTTCGAACACACATACTCAAGTGGCCTCTGCTCCAATAGCCTGCAGTGGCATAGGTGGCGGCTGAGATATTTGCATTGTTTTCTAAAGACTTAGATTCATGCTTGTGTTAGCGCTTTCAACAGCTAAAAGAGTCTGATTTTAGATTGGCAAGGCATATAGCAATGCGTGAAGGATAATGGTAGGAAACCCAGAAGGAGAAAGTACACTAGGTAGACGAAGACATACCTGGATTAACAATATTAAAATTGTTATTAGAAAAATACAATGGGGTGGTATGGACTCGATCAATCTGGCTCACGGCTTCGGTTTCCGTAAAGTATTCGGAAATTACTACTTACTATTCATATTAATTCAATTAATTCACTATTCACCTGGTAGATGTTAAATTTCTAACCTCAACAAAAACTTCGGTTTTGGCACCCACAGGGATTCAACTTTCGTCTTTTGTAAATACCTGTGGGCTATTTGATAATCTCATGACAGAATTATTTCTTGGGTGTAAGTGGAACTGCTAATCAAAAGGCGAAGTTGTCCCTTTGCGTAAATAATTAAGCAGATTGCTGTGAAGACATACGGTTGAGTGAACGTAGACCTGTACTGTCCTTGCGCTCGCTTCAAATGGAAGTGTAAACAGCTTTGCGCCAGAGACACTTTACTCGCGAGGAAGCCAAAGGTAATACCCATTCAGTAGGACTCTAGGGGGGCCAGAGCTGGTCTGGACGCGTTCTCATTCTGTCACTGATACATTGCAAATCCAAATGCCTACCTTCTTCTCATGGCCCCTGATTTTCGATTCGACGTTCGATGTGCGGACCACGGAATCTTTGCTTACATGGTCCAGATCTTGGATAATTTCTAGGAGATATCGCGGAGAGATTTACAAACCTTCACGACTACATATACTCAAGTGGCCCCTGCTGCAATAGCATACGTATGGTGCAGTGGCATTGGGGGCGGCTGAGTTTTAGCACTGTTTCCTAAAGATGAACGTTCTACCTTATGTTAAGGCTTTGCACAGATAAATGGGTTTTATTTTTGATTGGCAAGACATATAGTACGAATGGGAAGAGTGGCAAGGCGTGTAGGATATTTGTAATAAGACCAGATGGTGAAAGTCAACTAGTAAGACAAGACATACGTGGATTGACAATATTAAAATGGATACTAGAGAAACACAGTGATGCTGTGGTATGGACTGGGTCAATCTGGGTCTGTGTAGAGACCAGTGGCGGGATGTTTAAACACGAAATGGAAGTCTTTGTTTCTATAATGTGTTGGGAAATTGCTTGAGTGGCTAAACATTGGCGCTTTCTCAAGAACGGCTCAACTGCTTGAAATTATTTTAATGTTCTTTTTTTTCATATTATTCTATACCATTCACGTGTAACTCCATTAACTGACTATTCACCTGATAGAGGTCACATGTGTAATCCATTAAAAAACCTTTATAAGGAATTCGGGTTTTGGCACTTACCAGAGTTCGATTTCTCGTCTTTTGTAAACACCTGTGAGGTCTATGATGATCTTATGACAGAATTATTGTTTGGTTGTAAGTGGATCTCATAAGCAAAATGCAAAGCTGTCCCTGTGCGTAATTTGTTAAGCAGAGTACTATGAAGACATACGGGTGAGTGAACGTAGAGCTCTACTTTCCTTGCCCTCGCTTCAGTTGGGGTGAGTGGACACCTTCGCGCCCCATGCGTTTCACTCACGGTAAGCCGCACGTGGCAACCACTCAGTAGGACGCTAATTGGGACCAGACCCGGTCTGGACGCCATACGGTAGAATAAAATATCTTGCGCCTGCCGGGAATAGAACCCCACTCCCCAAGCTTTTAGCCCCTTGCTCTATAGCCTGAGCTGATATTTGATAAGCGCAACAAAATAATTTATATGTACTGGAAAGGTACATTCACATTCCATTATAAGCTAAAAACGTTTGTTCAATTCTACGAAAGATGCTTAGAATGATAAACATGCTTACAGTGTTCGTATCCCTTGGTTTTTTTCTGCACCAGCCGAAGAGTTTGTTGTGCCTTCTTTCCTTTTTAGGTGCCTTTTCCTAGGAAACACAAAGTTTGTTATGAATATCTTGCACCAAACATTCTGAAGAATGTAATCTTATTAATGTAGCATTTTTCTTCGGAACTCAAGAATCAGATATTAGTTTGAGTCATGAGTACTGTGTTTAGAATTTCCTGCATTTAGCCACATACGCCAATCAATCTTTAACGCTGCAATAGCAAATAACATAACGGTAAGTAGGAATTTAAAGGAAAATTAATATATAATACTGCAAAGGGAAATGGAGAATATTTTCACAGAATATTCTGTGAAAGCACCGAGGTTCCAAGAATTCAGTTTCATCTGGCATAAATGCTAAAAAAAATAGTATGTTGCAGTTTTCAAATCAGATTTTAACGCATTTTAATTTTCAGAGTAATCGAGTTCTCATTCTGTCACTGATATATTGTGAAGCAAAATGCCTACATTCTTGTCATGGCCGCTGATTTTCGATTCGACGTTCGATGTGCGGACCACGGAATCTTTGCTGACATGGTCCAGATCTTTGATGATCTTTTCCACACTGCTCCCAAGAGACTGGTTGCTCTCGACGCTTCTAGACTCTGGCTTCGGTCGCTCACTCATTCTAGCCTGTGGCGTTGTAATACTGACGAAGGGAACATTTTCCAGAGTTTCTGCAACAGAGCAAAGCACCTATCATAAATACAAACCACTCCGTCCAGTGTGATATGTAAGTTTTTACTACGTTAAAACTTATGTCCCTTACATGTTTCGGTCCTTACGGGCCATCTTCAGAGGGAACATCATTACAAACTGGAAACTACCATCACAATAGGTTTTTTGATTTAAAATACATACACTTATATCCTATAATGCACAGTACGCATAAAGTCGAACGTTTCACGATCACAGCAGCTTCCAGGTGTTGTAAAGTTTTTAAAACTCTTCTACATATTATTTTAAAAAACCTTTATTATCAATAGTTAAAATTTTTTAAACCATGTAGGTTCGTGCCCGTACTCCTATCGTCATTCTTGTATGGGGCAGATTTTGTCCCGCCTGTTTATCTTGATGAGGAGGTTCTTGATATCATCCAGGGTTTTTTCGTGGCTTACTGTGTTGTTTTCACCTATCAGTGTTTATATTTCATTGCTCCCTATTATCAGTCGCCCCGCCCTACGTATGGGAGACTGTTTCTCAACTGCACCTCCAAAATGAAGTAGTGGTCATGGCATCACCATTGCTTTTCAACTACATTTACTTTGAACTATTATGAACGTCCATGGAAACCATAACCCACTGAAATTAAACACGACAAGTCAGCTGGACGACTATGCTGACAATTTAAGACATTTTGATACAAAAATATTACTATAAGAAGAAAGGCATTCTAATTGACGCTACTGAAGAAGCTGGAAAGAAATAAACGCTGAAAAATCGAATTACATAAAGATGTGTCCGTCAAGATTTGGGGAATAATCATAGCATGCGTCCATTCAGACTGTGGCAGTGTTCACATAATTTGTATGAACAGTGGCAAGTTAAATTGAGACTCATGTCAGAATAAATATGAGACTCAATTTGGCTGTATATTCCAAGAGCAGTGTGACATGTCTAACTGTTGCTGGGCAACAGGAGGTGGGACGAGTTACCACGAAGACGGACCCTTGATAATTGGTCTTTTGCCAGGTTACGCAACAGTAAGGAAAGCGGTGTTTCTCCATGCCGTGCCAAGTAGAGCCGAAGTGAGCCGAAGGACTCTGGTTGCTACGCAGCAATAAACAACTGGGCAACGATGACCAGAAACACCTGTAAACAGGGCGTTTACGCAACAGGGAAGCGAGGCGCGTTTCCCGCTGTCCGACTGAGGGGTTATAAGAGTTACTAGAGAGAGAGAGAGAGTAACCAGTCAGTTTCAGTCTAGCATTTGCCGGAGTGAGTTGAAGTCCATTGTTATTGACTTGTATGGAGCGAATGGAAATGACTAAAGGAGAAGTATTTGTTACTCTGCACATGGCAGCAGTGGTGTAATTGTGAATTGTGTAATTCTGAGAGCGAGTGTTAAATAAATTCGTTTTACCCAGTACCGTGTGAAGTTATTTGTCGCATGCATACCCAACACGTGACACTATATTCCGAAATATTTTGTCTTCTTGTCCACCATCAGTATTTTATGAAATAGAATATATGTGAATTTCGATTTCTCTTGTGGATATTTGTAGCTGTGAAATTTGGTCTCTGACATTAAAATCAGCTTACAGACAGAAATTTTTGAAAAGCATATTGCAGAAGAGATCTTTTGGACGAATATGAATGTAAGGGAAAGTAAGGTGGATAAAACTCTCTACTGAAGAGCATCAAAAAATATTTCATTTTTATAGTGTAATTGGAATGATCACGAAAGTAGGAATTAATGGGCAGAGAATAGTTTCGAACACAAACAGTATATTACGACCGATACTTCTCTTTCGCATTACATATGTCTTACTGTCTATGATAATTTGTCTATCCGGAAAGAACAGCATTTTTACACCAACATGATTTTCTCTTTTTGCATTGATCAATTCATATCTGACTAGAATAGCACTGACTAATTTTTTATGTGTACTCAAGGGTCAATGAATGCCTGGGCGACTGAACAATTAGGAGTAATGTAATGCGTTAGGATTTTCGGCAGGATCGACTGAGACGTGGCGATTGGTGCGGTGACTAGAATGCTGAACGCTCAGAGAAAGCGACATGTTAGGATGTACCTTACGTACGTATATGACTTTATAACAAAATTGTGCAGGCAACAAGCATAAGTCATACAAAATCATGAGAATGAGAATGTTTGCAAAATCGGACAAGGCGAAGTCCGACACAGAAAGTATAAGAGGCTTAAACTTGGAGGCGGTCAGGCATACGACCGTTCAAGTGACTAGACTGCGGTGGTAACGATTACTATTAGAAATGGGGCATAATCTGCTGTAAAAAGCCTGGATTGACAGAGGCCTTCTAATTATTGTACATAGAAATAGTAATTAAGACTAGAATTAAATTGTAAATATATGTCAATACTGACAATGGACTGACTAAGACTGCCAAATGACAGACCCGACCTCTCGTCAGAGAGGTCGCCCCAAATGGACAGGACAGCAAC